TTAACATAGGAAAGAAAGTCTGTAAAATTTCCAGTCGGTTTATAACTCTTTGGTTTGTCCAATAACAAAGAATGGTTCACTAAATCAAAAGCTTTTTTAAAGTCAATAAATATCAAACCACATAATTCATTATGAATCAAGGATCTATAGATGTTTTCGGATATATTTCTTATGGCTGTTAAACATGAATATCCCGACTTATAAGCATAAACTAAATCATTATTAAATATGAACTAAGATAAGGAGATATATGTTTTTCTAAGGGTTTATAATATTGAAATGGGTCTATAGTTTGAAGGGTTATCTATAGTTCCATTTTTTTTATAAAAAGGGGGTGCTTTGCCCAACAGAATTTCTGGAAATATAGATTTTGTGATACACAATTTGTAAATATATGTTAGAGAAGGTACCAAAAGTGATGCTCCGCTTTTAACAAAACAGTGTATTCAGTAAATAGGATGAATATTTCAGACAGGCCCCCCCTCTAACTACGGGCCTGATATGGAATTTGGTGCAATATTACAAAGTTCTGCTTCATTAACTTTAGATTTTACAAAATCATTTAAAATATCACTCTTATATTGGATGTCACTTTGGTCCTCTATTAGATTATTGTCCACATTTGAGAAAAAATTATTCATTATAACTCTGGATATTGGAAGATCGTTAAAATGGGAGGTCAAGGTGGGCTACCAGGCAACCTCCCCCTATAGCAAACACCACTGAATCTGAGAAAGAACTTGCAATGGCATAGCGTTCCTGTATTCTCATTTTAAACGGAACTAGTCATAGTGGGGGTGAGGGGGATCCGCCCCCTGGAAAATGTTTTAATGTGGAAATCCGGATAATACATGTAACGCGATTTAAAAATTGAAAGTAGAATGAATACATGGGGTGGAGGAGGTGCATGGCCCAACATTTCCGCCCAAATACGCCACTGAGCACACGTACTTAAAACGACTGCAAGCATGAAGCGGTAACTGGGAGGATCATATCACCTGAATGATCTAGTCGACCTGAGTGCACCTTTACCAGGAAAGTTGCGGTTGGCACAAACATGTCCCCAGAATATCACCACCGCCGCCTGAAACCAAGAGAAGGAAAAGATTTGGAGTTATTTCACGTACGCACAATTTCAAGAATCAAATCATACAGGATTACGTAAGATTAAGGGCCCTAAAGAGAAAGTGACCTTTACTTATTTTGAATCAACAATCAAGCTTTTATCATGCATGGAATATGTTGTATTAGCCTATTAGTGGCATTTAGCATCATAAATTAAATGCATATCTTCTTTAAATGTTCCTTTTCGAAAAAGAGCTGTCCTGGCAAAATTTCCCTCATTGCACCCTGCATGGCGTTGCCCGTCTTCATTAGCCCACATGGTACAGAAAAGTAAGACGTAAAACTCCATTCATTTCATTTCATTTATATGTTCCTTTATTGAAGCTGAATATATTGTATTCTACAAGTGTGTTCTGCATGAAATATGCATAAAATTATGTAGTTAATACTAAATAGCACATTGATTAATTTGCATAGCAGTTGAAAACATCAGTCACTTTTTTTCAACTAGTGAATCTACTGGTTTACAAGCCCCCTCACTGAATAATTCTAAGAAACGCCACTGTTCAGATTCTGTTAGTCACAAGTCAACCTTGAGCCCTTCCTCACTTTTGAAGTATTTTTTGTAATAATTTCCGTAAGTTTTTTAAATCAATCGTGCATACCACTTTTAGACATGAATAATGTGGCGCAATACTAACGTTATGAAGATATTTCGGTTCTCAAAATTTGTTTTGTTCTTGTGATATTCAAAATAGTTTTACACGTCATTCGTTAACTTATTGTATTCAATATTTTAAAACAAATTAGTTCTCCAGTTCTAATTTAAAATAATGAACAATGAACAATTAACTTTTCAACATTTATAACACATTTCCTGTTTACATGACCAGTGTGCTGTGTACAATGCATTCTTTACTTTCATGGCAGCTAAGGGATGAACGAAAGAAGGTTGAATTTTGAGATTTAACACTGGAAAAAGATGACAAATGAATTACTGATCCAGTCCTGTATACACTACACTACACTGATTCAACGTTCTATTTTCAGTTGACAATACTGTAATAAAAATGGGCACATGGTCCATCCCCAAAAAGGGACACTTCATCGCGTCTTGGTGTAAAATGGGCTTTTTCGATAAGAATAAATATTCAGCTAAACTACGTAAAGTGACTGTCTATTTCATGGGAATTTCACATATGAAATTTCTAGGATTCAAACAATTATCATCAGACAGTTTATATATATTACCGTCCTTTTCAATAATAGAGCAGTCTTCTCCATAATAGTTATCAGGTTGACCTGGCTTATAAAGCGTCTGGTTTATCCAGGAACCATCAAGCCACACGTATATACCTTCTTCCAAAGAATCGCCACCACCAACACCGAAACGTCCATTGGGTTTTCCTGTAATACATGAGCATCATTTCAAAAACGTAAAACTGACATCCAGGCTATTTCGAATTAACTGCAGAATCAGACTCGAAGTCAGTTGACTGCTGCAATATGATCTACGAACAAAGGGCTGCTTGATGATTGAAATGGAATTTGCCATGACTTTATGAAGCTCAACCTACATTGTCCAACACTAGTCCACACCTGCCAGGAGATACATAATCATAGGAGGCTTCGAGAAAATTGGATAATGTTCAAGACTGTTTATATCAAAATTGAATATTTCACTCATCCAATCTATCTCATCAATATACACCAACATTCAAGTTTCGTCTTAATCCAATCAAAACTCAGGCGTAGTTAGGCTAAGTAGTGGGAAACAACTCAAAAGTCATTCATCAACATTCAGGTTAACCCAACTTATCTGAGATTTCATCCAAATTCAGTCGTTTAAAATTCACAAACAGGACTTGGGAAAAAAGTACTTATAAAGTTTGATTAAAATTCGATCAAAGCTGTAGTCTCTATCACATTCACAAGCCATTATGTACCAAACTTACAGGGTAGGAGGTTCTTTATTTACCTTGATCAGCAATAACTGTTTCGATATAAAGGCGTTTATAATTGGTGTCCGGTATAAACAGATATCCACCATCGTCCACACATGTTTGATGATTTTGGTAACAGTTTGAGAGGATACCATTTTCCTTTGTGACCTTCAGACATGCCTGCATTGTGGGATAGTAAGAGTAGTCAGACGGGCAACTATCTGAAAAATAAGACATTGAATACTAGACTATCGTGAAGCATGTGGATTTGAATATTATACTATTGAACCTTTCACCATTCTCATCCTGTGTACTTCGGGTATTTCTATAATTACAGTGCTCGACACAAATAAAAAAAAATCAGAAAACCTCTACTCATCCTTGATGGATTTAAACTTCGGACGCCGTCAACCGCCGTAAAACGCTAGCATATGCTCGCGGTCGGCGGTTGCCAGCGTTCGTCAGCGTATAGCATGAATTTGCATACGCCGGTGTTTCAATCAATCACAAGAAGCTATTAGACCACACAGACAGGGGTCTCAATCGGATTGGTTTTTACGTAATGTTTTTAAATATTTTTGGCGTTTAAAAATTAACGGCTGGATTGTTTTAGTTAAATCTTTCAGATACGTAAAAGGGCAAATTTCTCTAGGTTTTGGTGTATAGTTTTCACAAATTTGATGAAAAAAAATTTCGACCTACAAAAGAAGCGGAATGTCTCTTTAAAGGACATTTTATAATAACTTACCTGCGTAGGTCCAATAATATCTTAAACCAGGAGACCTTGATGTAACTGATCCTTCAGCAAATACTCGGTTTGTAAATATCAGGCACGATTTATCGCCCTTGTTGTAACCAAATGTTTTACACACAGGCGACGATTGTAAACATATTTCAGCACACAAAGTCACGGATCGAGAAAATGTTGATCGTGATGGAACAGAGACCAAAATATCTGATAATGCAATTCTACGCCATAGTTTTACTATGTCGGATGCACCTGAAAACTGCACGTGAACAAATATAATAATCACCAAGTTCAAATACCCAAAGAACCCCATATTGTTCACACTCATATACTCAAAATAAATATTCGTAATCTTTCAGTGTTTAGTCCTCTCTGCCTTCCTTCTTATATTCTTAACTGCCCGTGCCTCATAAAGCCAGTCTGTACTATTGGTTTATCGCCTTTTATCCGCTACTATAGTTCGTTTTCGTCTCGAGTCTAGGTTTCGTCTTTTCTCTTTGCCCACCTTCTTCTGTCCTATAGCCATGTATCATAAAGTGCTTCTGTCGGATAACCCTTGTCCGATTGGCTTAACATCCTTATCTGTTCCTAAAACCCTGTCCCTTATCCCTGGTTCCTATTTCATTCTCAATTACGTCATCCAAACTGTAGGTCAATCCGAAATTTGGCTAAATTATCACTCTATGCTACTATACCACTGTAAGAAGTCAGTATTGGGTTGATGTTATTATATGTAAACACGATTTAACAGAGGGGAATTTTCAGTAGATCATTTTCCTCTGAATTTTGTGGGAGGGAAGTGTCTCTATTCTAAATGGTAAATCTATGAACCAAGGCTTGAAATAAGCGTCAGGACACGCGGCAAATGTCCGAATTTATTTTGAATATTATGGAATGAGAGAAAGAATTTAATTCAAAGCTCAATAATGTATTTTTATACTGGTCGGAGAGTAGGCCAGGTATCTAACTTAATAAGAATGTCCACGATTATAATGATAGTTTTCTTATTTCCTTTATGTTTATATCTCAACAAATCATTACCTATATCGATCTTCAACGAGATTAAATGAATCAAGGACTAACGATCCGAACCGCACGAAACCCCAAATCCCCAAATCCCCATGAACAATTTCGAAAACTTGAATGACTTGTTCAGTAGCTATAGTTGAGCCCCCCTTACCGAGACCCTGGGCTAGCTACGGGCCTGGCCACAACGGTTATGACTGCTCAACATACACAAGAGGCACTACAAATTAGAACATGCAAACAAAACAAATAGTTTTTTGATTGTTGAAGTTAAAAAGTTCAAGGGACGTAACTGATGAAAATATAATTCTTTAATTTCAATAGTCAAGGGAGAGAACTGATTACAATAATTGTTATATAATGATACGAAAAAATGTTGCAAACACCCCTTACCAAGTTCTTCCACTATCGGATAAAAAATGTAGCTTCTTAGTTCTATTGCACCTACAAGCATAATCAAAAGAAAATATTATAATGGTTATAAATGAATCATTGAGTACTATTTTAACAGTGGTATTTCTATAACGCTCTACAATTGATGTATTGAGTACTATTTTAACAGTGGTATTTCTATATCACTCTACAATTGATGTATTGAGTACTATTTTAACAGTGGTATTTCTATATCACTCTACAATTGATGTATTGAGTACTATTTTAACAGTGGTATTTCTATATCGCTCTACAATTGATGTATTGAGTACTATTTTAACAGTGGTATTTCTATATCGCTCTACAATTGATGTATTGAGTACTATTTTAACAGTGGTATTTCTATATCACTCTACAATTGATGTATTGAGTACTATTTTAACAGTGGTATTTCTATATCACTCTACAATTGATGTATTGAGCACTATTTTAACAGTTGTATTTCTATATCTCTCTACAATTGATGTATTGAGTGATATTTTAACAGTGGTATTTCTATATCACTCTACAATTGATGTATTGAGCACTATTTTAACAGTGGTATTTCTATATCCCTCTACTATTGATGTATTGAGTACTATTTTAACAGTGGTATTTCTATATCCCTCTACTATTGATGTATTGAGTACTATTTTAACAGTGGTATTTCTATATCGCTCTACA